TCAACATGGAGCTCCATCTGCAAATCCAAAGTGTTCTTATGTGATATAATTTTTGTCATTTCAATTTATTGTCAGTCACAAGCAATAATGAGACAAAATGTAGACGTATATGCAAATGACAGTATTGAATGTTTAGGTTATTGTTAGTAGTTCAGGACACTCACATTAGAAATTAAAGGTGTTGAGAAATAGTTCACATCCCTGGTGATCTGATCACCAGGAACAGAACAAAACCAGAAGGGAATCCATTCAGGACAGATTTTTGATGTAAAAAAAGCCGTGCTGAGCAGGTAATCCATCATTCTGCAGCAGTGTGTCAAGTCAGAGCCACTTTGGTGCTCATAGGCGAAATTATTGCTGGGTGCCCTCTTCAGCTGTAAAATCCCTAAATATTGGGAATGCGTAATTTTAATAACAACCATCGTATGTTATTAAATCAATCCAAGTGGAGTCATTAAAAAAACAAGATGACAAATAGTGATGGGAATTTCGACTCTTTTCAGAGAGCTGGTGTTCTGACGATCTGTGCCACTTCAAAATCATCAGATTTTTCTACTGTAGCGCATTTGGATAGCTATGTCTGCCTGTCGGTGCTGCCTTTTGAAAACTGCTACCGTCTTGTTTACATACCAAGGACCAATGCAGGCAGAGTCAATGTTAAATCTATCTAGAGATAGATATATATCTAGAGATAGATATGTATCTATCTCTAGATTGATATCTATTGACCTAGATAGCGATAGAGATAGATATCTATCTCTAGATAGATAGATAGATAGATAGATAGATAGATAGATATCAATCATGTGTAAGTAGAAGTGGTAGCTTCTATTTACGGATGAGCAACAGCCCAGGCTACCATTCTCCAGTTGTTTCTCTGTTCCATTTTTAGAGATTTTTACAAAGAAACTACAAATTCTGCCATTTTCTGTTGATTTGTTTTGATGCATGTTATTAAAAATGTATTCCCAATATATTCCGAATTGCCCTTTAGTAAGACATGGAAAGAACTTGTATAAGACCAACGTAAGAATCATAAAAGAAACAATTGGCTTCTTGTGTCAGTGTGTAATGCAACCTCATCATTTTGACATGAATTATGTGGATCTATAATATTATCTGAGAAATTGTTCTTCCTCCCGGATGTTCAGCTCAGACAGACAAATTCACAGTGAAGCTGAACATTGGGAACAGCTGTCTTCTGGCTGTGGATATTTCTGTTTACCTTAAGCAATATGTCAGTTAGACATGGAGAGTGTTATACCTTCCAGCTAAACACATCACTTCCTTAATGCAAATTAACCAAGTCTCTTGGTGTGTGTGTGTGGGGGGGGTCTGGTAGGAATATTTCTACCAAAATGGAACCATGAGATTCATGAAGAAAAAGTTTTGAAGAGGAAGAGCTTTTCAGTTCTTCACAGTTCTTCTTTTCTTTCTGTGATTCTTTCTGGTAAGATGTAGACACTTCCAGAAGAAAAAATCATCATATACTATTATTTTCACATGATAAAGAATGCTATGTAAGAGCACTTTTAATTTACATTTGAAAAAAAGTTGGGTCTGTTTGTACTTCACCTAATTATTATCAAAGTAAGAATATTGATCAGCTGTGCCCTAATAGATATAGCCTCTGGAAAAACAGCTTATATTTTTTAGACATTTATTAGTGAAAAACTTTTCTGGAATGATGCAATATTTTGCTTTCACTTCTTTCACACTCTACTTTGTGCTGGTTTATCACATAAACTTTATTAAATGTTGTGGTTTTAATTGAACAAAAAGAATCAGAAAAGTTCAAGAGGTCTGAATCATTGTGAATCATTGTAAATTTAACTGAACATGCTGAATATGTTGCTCCTGGTAACAGTTGGTTTGATAACTTGCTTGCTGCCAGGCTTTTTATCTTAATGTTGAGTCTCCCTCAGTCCCTTCCCACCTAAAGCAAGCTGCCTGGGTTCAGCAGACTTTTCTATTTGCCGTCATTGGTAGCTATGCTAACTAAACTGAGCATGCACAGTTTGAATCTGCACAGCTCTGTGCTATGCTAGCTGCAGCATGGCACAAATCAGGGGATTTTGATTGACAGCACTGAAACTCTCCTGCCACTGACTGGTTGTTTCTAGCACTGGTTGAAGGCAGATGAAATAGATTTTTCACAGATTACCTCTCATACCAGACTGTCACAACATAATGACATTTTTAAAAAATATGTGAAAAAAAAAATTATAAAAAGTTACATACTGTCGCTTTAATTTCACTCAGGAGAGGACAGGTCAGGAGGGACGTGGGTTACAGCTTCTGCTGACTCACTCATCTGTTAAGTGGTATAAGGCACAAGGAACAAGTTAAATATATGAATATGTTGGTATTTTTTTTCCTTAATTCATTAAATGCTAGTGAAAAGGAGGCAAACAGTAGTTTGTATCTAAGCTAATTATGCTAAATAGTTGATAATCTCACAGTCTACCCACCTCTCGGAGAAAAATTGGGTTATAAATTAACACTCTTGCCTTTTTCTCTCTCTCCCTCTCTTTTTTTTTTGAAAACCTGATTTCATAACTTTTCTTGGCAGCATAGTAATTGCCACAATTGTTCGTGTCTTCCAATGACTGCTGCTAACAGTGTCACTCTCAAGCGCTCCAAGCAGGAACAAACCATTTAACGCAGATAGGGGGTGTTCAGGGCAAATATGGATGTGTGTTTTTTGATCTGGGAGTGGGAACATAAATTTTTTACTGCTAAAAACAGTCTCTGAAAACACAATATGATTAATTTTGTAACTGACAGGGCCCCAATTTTTTTAATTTCTATGAACAAAAAATAAATAATTAAATTGTGGAGGGCCCCTAGAATTGTCATCACTTTTCTCCCCTATACCGCCCCCCTGTCCTGATCTAAATACATTTGCTTCTGTTTAATACTGCTACTGACTGAACTGAATTCAGCTGAAGCCCTTTCAGATCATATTCCACAAATAAACACAAAACCTCCCATCATATACACTTGGTCCATTACATTGCAAAGTCAGACCACTGAGATCTTGGGCCATGTGTGCTTTCAGAGTGTGCAGCAGGGATTGCACAATCAAAGAGGCATAGCAAACAAAATGCAGTGCTCACCTGAGCAATATGAATGGGAACCATGTGGGAATTTCCCTCTCTGGCTCAACTCCATATATTGGTCCTCTATCAGACTGCCCAGATGCTTTAAATGCTCAGTCAACAAGAAAACCTGTTTAGCATCATCCTCATCATGCTATATGCTTTTGGATCTAGGAGCGCATGTAATACACACGTTAAGCAACTGCTTCTTTGCATCATATCACTACTTCACTCTCATTCCAGTTTACTCTTTACAATCGATGTTGTAGTAGCTACAGGTTTGTCACTTCCTCCCAAAGTGATTCAGGACATAATATTGGTGAAGTTCTATTTTGTGTTGGGAAAGGGAGTTTGAAATCAGACTTCTCAAGAGATCAGAGACGATATGATGTGAAAGCAGCTGTTACTTAATTGACAGAACTGCAAAAACATATTTTTTTTTAGCAATGGTTCAGGTTGTCTGTTCTAAAAGTGTATTTTATTGCACACAGTCTGATCCTGTCTTTTCAAAAATCCTGATTGGAAAATTACAAACAGACTCATAGGGCTGTTGTTGTTAATATAACATGACAACAATCTTTGCAAACCCCTGGCATCGCCTAGGGTCTCTTTCCACATGACCCTTGACACACCCCCACCACACACACACACACACACACACACACACACGTTACCTCTTACTGTCTGGACTTTGCATTATATTCCATTCCTTTTAATTTAGTCGAACCCATCCCCTATACCTGACCCAAAAACAGCACTTCCTTTTATGAGGCTTTAAGACTCCTAATAGCAGGGAGCCCTCACAAGGTCGTATTTATTGGAAAATCGGCCTTACAAGCTAAAACACACACACACACACAGAGTTGCTGCAAAGATAACCTCTGACTCTCACATCTCATAGCACCACTTGCCTCAGGTTAGCTTTGATTTTTTTGAACAAACAAATCAAAGGTCATTCTTTTTTATAACTGCACTGCACCTATATTACACCAGACAGGCCAAAAATTATTAATACCCTCCAAATATTTCAGTTTTTGTTTTAATTATTCACAAACGCTTTTCATAGTGTTGTCATTCACTTGCCCCTTCTCTCTGATTCTATAGCATTCTGTTGCTACTTTTACAGCTTCCTTTTAAATGCTACTTTTAGGCCACATTTATCATGTTTTGTGCATTAAAAAGACATCCAACGCCTTGAGTTAGATGCTTGTGCACGTATAAGTAAAATGCTTGATACAGAGCATCAGAATTGCTCTAGACAAGCGTCTGAGCAAAGTGTAGAAAGACGTGTTTTGGGAGGAGCCTCCTGACTTTTGGTTGTTTTCCTTCTGCTGGTATCTTTGTGCAATGGCAGATGAAATTGCTAAGAACTCCTTTAGATTGTTCTCCTTTTAACTGTCTTCCCAGCAACTTCTGTGGTTTGTCACCAAGTTCAAAATGCTTCCATTTAAATTTAAGTTATTTGCCTTTTTGTTCTCCTAGAATGGCATTATAGTCATATTTTAAATTAAGTACTTAGGTGCTGTGGTAAAGCACGGCCCACGTATTGAGGCCTTAGTCCTCATGGCGGTGGTCACAGGTATATTTCCTGGCCTGGCGACATTTGTCGCATGTCCTCTCTCATTGCTATCTTTCCTGTTAAACTACTTTCCAATAAAGGCCACTGGAGCCAACAACACCTTTAAATAATAATTTAAGAAGTACTGTATGTTGTCAGCTTTTTGGAGCAGTTAACTCCAATTGACAAGATCAGCTGTTTGAAGTTCTTTTTCAGTTGATTCGGTCAGCTTCATTTAGATCTTTTCAATGCAGCTTCATAGGGAATGATCTGCCCTCTAGTGATGCTTTAAGTGTCTCCCACAGTATTGTGTGATTCACTTCCCCTTATTGTTGGTAAAGAACTGTGCTATATGTGTTGTAATGTTAATTTCTAAACCTTCGTGAAGATTGGTGTTGAATGCCAACTACATATTGCTTTTCTTGGATCAACCAATTTAAGATTCAGAAAAATGGGACTGTGATCAGAAATGATTGTTTGTGATTTAGTATTGTAGAAGTTAGAAATTAATCTGGAATCAAGTGGAAAATAATCAATATATATGATCTGTGTAAAGAGAAATACTATATGTGGATGTGTGGTGCAATCTCCAGATATCCAGCACTTCCTTCAACTTCACTAATTTGTTAATGCAATAACGTTAGGTAGGGGAGCAGAAGTCAACCAAAATAAATATGGGTTTAAATAGCAACTAAAATGACTAAAAGGTTTAAGTCATCATCCAGGATCAGATTAACTACTTTTTGAAGGGAAGCTGGGTCATCCATGTTCAGCAGATAAAATATGCAGTACAGCCATCCTGCAATTATGCTCAGTGCCATTTCCAGCATGTATTCAGCTTTTCCAATTAAAGGTTATGCAAGTGCAAATTTATTGTCACACCTAAGGCAAACCTCTCCAGAGTATGGTACCGAACTGTAAAACCTGGCAATATTTAAATCAAAATAATGAGATGCCTGTCCTATAGCAAACCGTGGAGACTTTGTAGTTACTGTTATCTCATATAGTGGTTGTCCCACCTCTCTTCTGTAGAAATTGTTTTATCTGTAGTGAACTTATCCAGTAGGGCAGGGACATGTGGGAGCAACCACAGATAACACGCTTCTGCAGTTGGGGCAGAGGTATGGTAATGAGTGCATCAACATCTGATCTATCTGAGGTTTGCTGCTGCCCAGCATGGGTGGGTTCACTAATGACAGCAGCCATGCTTGATAAAGTTTTGGTGCCAGTTATTTAAATACTGTACTTGTTGCATGAATGTAGGAAACTTCTGTTTTATCATCAGCACTTTGAATGTCAGTTATGTCGAAGCAGAAGAAAAATTTTTTTCAGAGCCAGTGATACTGGCAACTCTTTGTTTGACTTCCCGTTCAGTTACTGATACATGGAAACATTTCTCCATTTGCATACACCATTGCAGAGGAAAAAACAGCAATGTAATATGACATTGTAATATTGTGACTTTCAGTTTGGCTTTGTGTCAAAGATGCAAACACAAGTTAAAAAGAACATTCTGTTACATGTTGTATTTCCTTCTGTCAGGGAGTTTACTAAGTTCATTTCTAAATTTCATGTAAAAGAAATGTTATAAAAAAATAAAATATATAAAAGTTTGTGATTACACTCAGTATATGAGTTTTTTATTTATCCTTATTAAATTGAATGCTGCAATTCAATTTCTGTCTGCTGCAGAAACCTTTCAAACTACTTTGACTAGTAAACTGAACTTTCTTTGCTGTTACATGACTAGGATAAGTTGAAATGTAAAGTGTGATTAAATTAAATGTATTTTGTACATTTCCTTGAGATGATAGTTGTTGTAAATTGGCACTATTTAAACTAGAAAAATAGCTGTTCCTAGCGAAACAGCCGTGAGAATGCATATTTGCAGAATGTCTGCTGCAGAAATGCAAGAAAATTAGAGAAAAGCTTAAGAAGTAGAAGAAAGCAGAATAAATTGACATAGTTGAAATAGTTGAACAGTGAAACGTAGCAAACAGCATAAATTAGCAGAAGCAGAAATTAGTACACAACCAGAAATATTTGAAGAAGTGAAACTTAGCAAATCAAAGAGCATAAAGGGGCAAAAGAAGCATATTTGCAGAATGATTGATAGAGAAGTGTAAGAAACAAGACTAAGTAGAAAAAACAGAAGAAAGCCACAGTTATACATTGTAGAAAACCTTTGCTAAGCAATGAAACTTAGCAAAAAAAATAAAATAAAATTATATACATCAGTGACGTGCGGTCAGGGGAGGCATCATGTCATCATGGAAAAATAATATATAATAAAACCATTTATATTGCTATTTTCACCCTGTGGTTTGTACTATAAAGTATCTATTTTTTAATTACCTTAACCAATTATGATGATT